AGAGAGAGAGAGAGAGAGAGAGAGAGAGAGAGAGAGAGAGAGAGAGAGAGAGAGAGAGAGAGAGAGAGAGAGAGAGAGAGAGAGAGATTCTTCTGCTTCCTCCTCTCAGTCCACCATCTCTTCCTAACCCTCTCGCTATCTGACTTCTCGGCATCAGCAGACTACAAGCGAGAGAGAGATTGGTGATTTTGGGGATGTTGGCGACATTGGGCTACAGACTCGACTTTGGGATCGAGACACTGACAAGGGACTATTTGGGACCGATACCAGTGACATTTGTGTGACAACATTCCCATCTTCTACCTCATCTTCGTCTGTGGATGTTTGGGGCTGGAGCATTCTTCCTGTGTGAGCGCCAGGCCCCTTCACACCTTGTAATGATGATGTTGTATGTTTAGTCTACATTGCAACATTTATTGGGTTGATCATTGATATCCTAGATGGGATGTCCTGTCAGTCCCGGTCAGGTCAGGACTTATATCCAAGTCTTCCACTGCGCTACAAAGCGCCATTTTGTATGTATCAGGATGTACACTGCTTGTTGAGATTCCACTAACACTGCATTGTCCATTCAGTTCTTTTCATCACCTTGCGGATCCTTGGCTGTACATACATTGCCCAACTGGGCATGTATCAATTTCACTGTGCACCGAAAGTTGCCGAACCTGGGTCCCATTGTTTTTCCTTTTCTGCTTCTCTTTGGAAATGAGGGGGAAAAAAAAGAACAACGAATAAAAAGAAAAACGCAACAACGCTAAGGACGTGAAAGCAGCCGGATGCAGAATCTGGGGTACATGTGAGAGTATGCCCGCCCAACGGGCGTTACAGCCCTGCTGTAATCACGGCAACAGCAAAATAAAAAAGCTTAAAAAAAAAAAAAAAAGCAACAACTCTTTGGACGTAAAGCTGCTGGATACAGAATCTGGGGTACATGTGAGAGCATGCCCTCCGAACGGGCGTTATAGCTCTCCCGTAATCCCGGCAGAAGAAAATAAAACTAAGAAACAAAAAGAAAGAAAAAAATAGCAACTCTTTGGACGTGAAAGCAGCTGGATACAGAATCTGGAGTACATATGCGAGTGCACCCTCCATTGCAAAGTGTCAGCTGTCCGTGGAATGCGCCCTGCCTCGTTGGCAGGGCACTAAAACCAAATCAGAAGGCAAAAAAATAAACACAGGTAATGAAAAACGAAACTGGCTATGTTTCTGGGTAGATGCGTTCCTTTGAGTACTAATGTGAGCACATCCTGAATTCCAACCAATACCTCCGAACTCTTCGGGCACTTTGGGAAAGCTGCCAGTTTTCCCTAGTTTGAATTTCCCCAACACTGGGGGAGGTACTAGTGGTTTAAGAACAGATGAACAAGGCACTGACAAACTCAAGGAGCAAAAGTTGTGGGGCAGGCGAAGAAGAATCAATGCAACATACCAGTACTATGATCTCATCTTTGTGAGTTGACCAGTGTGACTGAAGAAACTTCATTCCTGCATTCATTAACCAGATTGCCAAGGTTAGTGAAGCCCAAGAATCCCACAGATTGTCCATTGCTTCCCAGAAGGAATGATTTGCGTCTTTTTCCTTTGTTTTTCCACACTTGCTCCGTAAGGCAAAGTTACCTTCAATCGAAGGCCAACCAACTCATGGACTTTCATGTGATGCAGCTTTTGACCTATCATATTCTGTTGAGTTTCTGTGCATAAGACAATGAATATTTCATGGATCTTCACTTCGACTTGGGGTGTTTGGATTTCTTATCAATATATTATATATCAGGTGATTCATATCACGTTCTACTTTACTCTGGGATTTCCATGTTTGCACTAAATGTAGTAAATACTAAATAAGCTAAAACCTAGGCTGCACCGACGCCCGGCCGGGCGTGCCCGGCCGGGCGGACCCCGGCCTGTTGGGCCCGGGGGGGTCCGCCCGGGTGAGCCAGGCGACGCAAAAACAGGGCCGGGAATTTTTCTTTTTTTTTCCTGATGGTGGGGCTGTGCTGCGCTGCACTAGAGGACCCCG